TATATATCTAAAAACATCTATAGTTGAGAGCATAAAATTACATAAAAAATATTTAGATTTTAGGATTAAATAACCCATAGAAGTGTTGATATGCTGCCAAACAATACCAACCAACCAACCAACCAAAATGAAAGAACTCTTTCATGACATTAATCCATATAATATCCTACAATTTCTTAAGGAAATTAAACTGTATTCCAAAATACAACTTCACTGCCTGTAGCAGACATAGTGAACCAGAACCAAATGGCAGAAATGGTGGACAAGACTTGCCTTATTCTCAATGAAAGAGAGTTCATCTTTGCCTGGCATTTAGGACTAAAATTCGAGAGAAAGTGAGTGCATCGTTCCATCAAAAGAGACCTTTCTTTGTTGTCCCACAAGAAATTGGGACAACTTTACAAAATATTAGCATAATTGTATGAAATCGAGGAGGGACATTCGGGTAAGTTGGCGCTTCATTCTGAGGTGCCTGTATGTCTAGTATGTTTATCCTCCAGGCAAGTGATTGGTGATACACGATTGTAAGTAGACCATCGTGGAGATGAGAGGGGTTCTTCCATTGGGGTACATCGTACAATACATTCAGTTGTGGTAGAAGGAAAGAAAGAAGGAACAAACGACGAAGTGAATACAGGGAAGAGAACAACAATAAATACAAAGAAACTGGTGTAGAGGGAAGAAATGCCCAATCTGAAATTTCGTCCAAAAACAGAGTCACTAATTTCTTTTGACCACCATATCATATTTTTATTACTTCAAAGCTAAAAAGAAAATTAAATTTTCTCATGAAATGGCCCATAAGGTTTTGATATGCCATTAAACAAACAAACCAATCAGTCTTTGCATCTAAAAATACCCAACTCATTCTCTTTCGCAACTAAACTTAAAAGAGACAAGTCGTCTATTTCATTTCTACTCATAGTACTTTGCTATGTCATACAACAATATCTACTTCCTTTTAATCACATACAAACCTTACCACACCTTAACTTTATCACATACAAACCTTACCACACCTTAACTTTATCACATACAAACCTTACCACACCTTAACTTTATCACATACAAACCTTACCACACCTTAACTTTATCACATACAAACCTTACCACACCTTAACTTTATCACATACAAACCTTACCACACCTTAACTTTATCACATACAAACCTTACCACACCTTAACTTTATCACATACAAACCTTATCACACCTTAGCTAAACACATACACCAGTACAATTAAATAAATAAACCAATAAAATTGTATATTTTCATTTTACCACTTCAACAAGCATTCACTTGTTATTTCTTTATGGCTTTCTATTCCTTGATGACATATGTATGTTATCTCTACTGGTAAGATGTGAGTGACCCCACACAGTATCTTACCAATTAAGTTACAAAGGCCAACCAGTTGATAGTCCTAGGTATAAGGATAAACTACATCCTCAAGGGCTCCTCAAAAGCTCCAATCTCCTGATCAGAGCCCTTGAGGAGCATGAATACACCGCTTAACTGGTGTTGTTACCAGGTTCACCCTGATCTGGGATGGTAGCACCTGTTAGGGTCCCAGATACAGGCAAATAGTGAACCCCCAAACTGGTGTCAAAACACTATGAAAGTATAAAAATACATTTTTATAGTAAAAGTACTAGCAATACATTTTTATATTAAAAAATTACCAACATAGTAAAATGACAAACAATAAATTTTATCTGTAGTTGAAGGCATGCAGTTGCATTCAAAATATATTTAGTTGAAGCCATAGAATTGTTCAAAATATATAGATTTTGGCATTAAATAACCCATAGAGATGTTGACATGCCGCTAAATGAAATCAACCAACCAACCAGTTGAAATCATCCAGATTTAATCAGACAGCTTCTTTTTTTCTACCCTGAACACTAAGATCACTTGCCATTTTGTATGTTCATATTTTAAACTATTAGGATTACTTGTAATAGTATTCAAATTCCTCAGCAGCAGTTTTCTTATCTTTGATCTCTCCAGGGGCTGGAACTGATTGACAATCTGCAAGTTGCTATAAAAATCTAAGAAATTTGATTAAACCCAAAACTATTATATCTATAACTACTACAAGGTGTAAAAAACAAGAAGAAGAAATACTAGTCAAAAAATTAATGACTAAAGAGGAATCAACCGTAGTCGGGATCATTGAGTCAATGTGAAAGAGCCTTTTCTTAGCTGCATAGTATGTGCTACTCCATGGATACATAGTTTTGAATTCAGGATTTTTCTTCTCCTAAACCAATTGCTACCAAAGAACCCAGTTTGACCTACTATTTACCAACAGAAGAGCTGGATTCATACCTTTCCCAAGAGTATTAGCATGTAACTAAATGTAATGAACTCAACAGGAATTCAAACTCAGCTTTCCAATTCCTCAATCTGAGCCATGATCCATTACTTTACCATGCCTCCTCTTGATAACACTTGAGATTTATTGGTCACAATGTGGATTTAACTTTTACAATTGATTTCTTTATTGTGCTTATTTGTAATTTTGAAATAATCCAGTAAAAAAAAAAAAAATGGCTTCTCATAATGAACTCCTTGCAAGCATAAATTAATAACAGCATTTTATAAAATCATGTTCCTATGTATAATAGCCCTATTCTGTCAGTAACGGTTGCATTAATTCTTGACCACAAACAATCCCTTTCTTCCTGATTTTCAATGCACAACATACAGATTAGGTACCAAATTTGTTATTTGAACATCAAATATTCTGCTACCTCCCCGACCAATATTTATTTTGTAGAAAATGAGTAAAAGTGAAATAGTAAGAGAGTAGAAGGAGTAGTGGTAAAGTCAGTGGGCAGAGATGAAAAAAATATTTTTCTACACTGGGCCATATATTGAGCTCAAATGCAAAAATACGATGATTATTATTGACCTTACAGAATATGCTGATTGCATCTCCTACAATGGGGTAAGACACTCCCTAAAAAGGGGCCACTTATCAAATAAGCACTTATAGACTCAAATATAATAAAAAGAAATTTAAAAAACAACTCTGATTTTGACATTAAATAACCCAACATGGATAATTGTAAGATCCGTTTACTCTAACACCACCATTTTCAGAACTTTGTGTTACTCTATCTGTAAACATTAGAATGAATGACAATTTTACAAGTGATAGAAATTATATAAACAAATGTAAATATTTTGCTAAGTTTGGCATATGGCTGGGAAAGAAAGATTACATTGCATCAATATTTCAATATCTGTCTATATCTCTGAGATGAGGTAATATATTATTTGGACTGTTATCCTCATCTTCATTACCATATTCACAACGTTTCAGAATTGGAATTCCACGTGCCATGAAAGAGGCATGGCACATGAAACTAGAACAATCTATATTACTTCTCACTAATGCCAGTGGGAAAAAATCAAATCAAATCTCATTTCAACCACTTAAGCAAGGGCAGAAAACTGAATATTATGCCTGCAAACAGCCAATTCTGTTAATCCATTTTATGTGCTTGGAGAATAAATGACACACATGGGTGATGCAATCCCTACACACTACATGAAGACTTTATTCATTAGGTCATCATGAATGCTATGCACATAAAGTACATAGGGTCTCCTCTGGTTGACAAATTACATCCAGGCCACACAACTGATTCTTGAGTGATTAAAATAATGGCAGGATAAATTTCGGACAAACATAACACACACACATCTGATATATATTATATATATAGTGTTTGTAAAATTTCAGATATAACTAAAAATAAATCTATAAAAGGACAATATTACAAACTATATATTATACAATATTACATATTATATATATATATATATATATATTTGCTCCACTCTGTATTGAGCACTCTTTTAAGAAAAGTATTTTTGGGTTACTGGAATTTATTCCATATATATATATATATATAAAGTGTTATAAATGTTCTACTGTTTATTGGGAGCTGAATATGAAGAAATATAATTTTAAGGTGAGCTATATTTATCCCATAAGTATAGCTCACACTATATTTTTTTCTTTCTCTCTCTCTCTCTATATATATATATATAAAATTTAATATTGCATAATATATAGTATTGAGGCACATATGTGTAGGGATGTATTTATATGTATATATAGAAGAATGTGTATGTATGTAGGTATAGGGATTTGTATACGTTCTCTAGTTCTCCCCTCCTTTCTCCTGTTCCCTTCTTTTTCCTTTTCCTTTGTCCCATTCTTGAAAAATCATTTCCACTCCCTTCTCATGTCCGGTGAATAAGAGATTGACACTACTACCATCGCATTTCCTACAGGCATATACCTCACTTCTTCCCTTTCTACTTTGTGGAACTATCTTAAGACAACTTCCATTAATCTTGTTTTTCGTTTGATTCCTGGAAGAATTTTTTAATCCATTCATTGTTTTGAAACTGCTAGGTCTGATGAAGCAAAATTGAATTATCCATTTTGTGAAATAAAATATTACCATGGCTTTCTGAAGTCTCCGATTTGTTAATTAACTATCACTTGCTCTCAGGATTTATATCCTCCCTGGAATTACCAATTAACTATATATATATATATATATATATATATATATATATATATATACTAAAAAGACAAAGAAAACTTAGCAAACATTTTGTTCTTTTTGCTTTAAGAAAGACCATCAGAGGACAAAACGGTAAATTTATCTTAGCCAATGCATTTTGCTCTCTGATGGTCTTTATTAAGCCAAAAAGAATGAAACATGTTGGCTAAGTTTTCCGCATTCTTATATATATATATATATATATATATATAAAGGTTGATGAATAGTTCTCTGCTTGATCTGTCTCCCAAAATCTAAACAAATCAGATTTTTTTTTAATCTCACCTTGGTCAGACCAAAAGCTTTTCAGCACCCACTTCACATATATATATATATATATATATATATGAAAGCAATTATTTTTATAAATATATGAAGCTTTTGTGTGAATTTTGCAGTTGCATTTACTTACCTCTTTCAACTTCATCATCTTTCCATTCTTGTTGCGGTAGACAATTTCATCCGAATTAATTTTCATCTGTTTTTTAATGAATCGCAGCAGATGCTTTTGATTCATGCACGAAGATGCATGAATATGTGTGTCTACCTGCAAACACAATGCAACCGTTAAAGAATCAAAAACAAAAATTTTAAAAATACATCACATCAAGAAAGAAAAAAAAAAAGACAGAAGCCAAAAAAAATATTGAAAAATTTACTGAGGTAGTTTTATTCAGGTAAACCAATCATTTAGAAGTGTCCTCAAACTTTGTATAAACAGGGAATTTGAACAGATGGATCAGTTTGTCCATCTGTCAAGACACTCAGCTTTTCCCATATCTCATCATATAATTCACACATCTGTCAAAATCACTCCACTAAGTGTAAAATTTCAAATGGAATATTATTGTTCATTGACCTCTGAATTAATGTTGCCTATGAGGGTATGTGATTTCAGGAATCAACATGGGAATCATCTTCATGCAAAGGTAGAGAAGTTTGCCTATTGTCCAGTTTTTTGAACAGGAGTAGAGGTTCATCCCTTGTAACCTGTTTAGGACTGGGTTTCCAGTCCCTTCTTAAGTCTACTTCAACTCTATACTCCTAATATCTCTGCCTGAACTCTGAAATTTTATTTGCGAATGAAATCTTAACCTCTTCAAGTCTAGAATTAGCTGTCTATCTTTCCTGTTATCTTGTCCTTTCTTACGCTAATACAACCCTCTACTTTTAATGTAACCCTCTACCTTGAGAGGCCCTTGGACCTTGTATTGGGTAAAAAAAAAAAGGGATTTACTTTTCCATCATGGGTGGGAGCATTTATACAACTTCCTGTTATCCATTTGTCTTGTGTGTGTATATCTTAAAATTAACTGAGTCCACTTCCTGTATGTCAAGACAGCCACAGACATCCTTTGAGACCCAATTTTGCACTTGTTGGCTACAAGGCCACCTTCTAGGGGAACCTACTAATCTACCTAGCTCTTTTAACATTCTTCTGTGATACTGTTTATAAAGTGTACTTTGGTATTTTGCTTTCTGAATGGCACACCTAATTTAATGAAGAAAATAATGTTTATTAAGATTTTGTTTGTTTCATTTCTTCTCCACTTATTCACATTCTCTCAAATATACATAACTGCGTACATAAACAATGATTAATTACAATGTTTCTTGAAGATAATGCTTTTCTCATTTTAAACCACTGATGATTTTCACTATGGAAGGTCAAATGTGTAAACATCTTTTGCTTTTGAAACAGGAAACATTCTTATTTTTTTTTTCTCTGGAGTGACCATAGCTACCTTTAATGGGCAGAGTTTTTATGTTGCTATCTTCAGGCCAATAAAGTTGCAATGTTTCTGTCTCTTATTAAAATTCAAATCAGCCATACTTTCACCAGGAAAAAGATTTTTTGTAATATTAAATAGCACAATGCATTTGGTCTGTATTGGCTACTCTTATTGTCCCCAGTAGGAAATTCTTGCCAATTTCTCAATGACAGAGAGCAAGAAGTGAGTGAATGAGAGAGAGAGACTTCTCAATCTTAGCATGTGTTCCTTGAAGAACCTTCTTGCCAATTGGTGATTCGTTAATTCATGGGTCAATGAAAAGACCCTTCCACATTCTCCTTATTTTTCCTTTTATATTTGTGGGACTTCTTACCTTTCTAATGTTATAAAAATCTCTGTGAGGAACTTCCTTTTGAGCAGCTGACTCTTTCAACTCATTCAGCAAAACATGCAGTTGGTATTTGTATGACAAATAGCAAAGACGTTGGTAACAGAACGATTTCCTGAAAGCATAAAAAAAAAATATTAAATATTGTGTCCTTTATGAAAGGCGGGGAGATTTATTATAATTATTTTTTCTTTTTCTTCATTTATGTCAATACTACTGGTACCACATAAACCAGTACTACCTGCCACATGGTTCAGTCATCAGCAACTAAACTGATTCCCCCACCAGGCTTTACACATGTGGAGGGTGGCTAAGACATTCAGCAGGATTAAAATCAAGACCTGTCAAAGGGGAGATGAACCTTCTTGTAAGAGCCAACAGCCGTCTAGTACAATACAGTAGACTGGGCTCTGTAGATATGTAAGCAGGTGATGACTCAGTATCACTGGGTGGAAAGCTTCTTGGACAGAAGTCAACAGCCCAGGTAGAGAGTTCCTCCAATGGAATCAACATGACTAAAGTGAGTCTTCAAACGGAGGAAATTAGCTGTGGTTTGACTTGAAGAGGGATAGGTTCTGTCAGGTTTATTTGCCCAAGACATGCTACACATAAATGAATACCTCTCTGGCATTAAATCCAGGTATGAGGAGCGAACTGCTCAGTTGCTCAGCGATCTTATAACCCCACCCAGTCATGGGACTTGTAGTGGTGATGATGATGATGGTGTCCATTAAAGTAGAATTTTTCTTCCTTTTTTTTTTAAAATGATTTTTAACTCTTTACTCTCCATAATGTCAACTCTTCATTATTTTTCCAATTATAAGTTTAAAGTAAAAGTACACATTTGTCTATTTTTAAGAGTCTAGCACTACTTACTTTCAAATTTCACTGTTTGTGACTTTAGGGGCTACTTTAAAAAAAAAAAAAGCTGAACTAACTTATGTTACTAATTCCCAAATAAGGAAATTTGGCCCAATGTCTATGTGAAAAATAATTGAAACAAAGAAATGAGGTCTGATTCATTTTATGGGAAGGCAAAAGGACCTGAGCAAAACATCTTCTCTGGCTTTTCTTGCTTTCACTCACCATGGTGGCTAGCTGATCAATTTTTATATCATCAAGGTTAAAACCATGTAATTATACATATATATAAATCATGCAACCAGATTATATACTTTATTCAACTAAGGTAAAAGATTAATGTGTTCTTTTGAACATATTACACTACAATAAATATAAGCAAGTAAGAAGAGGAAAGAAAAGGTCAACTCACAGAGGTCCGTCACTAATGAGGGTGTACATGATGTTTTGGTCATTAAGGAAAGTGGCAAGGTCAGGGTATTCCCAGTCAAATGGTTTGTTTTGTTCTATGCCAGTTTTGTCTCGGTAAACCCTCATAACACCATGAACCATCCTGTATTCACAGTTGACACTGCCAGGCAACTGACAGTTAAATGGATCCCCATAAGTCCTGGGAGGGTGGATAGGGTGATCTAGACAAGAAATGAAAAAATCTCAGATTATATCCAGAAAAAGAAGAGAGATATGCTTTAAAAAAAATAATTTAAAAAATGTAATTACAAAATGTGGAGAGTTTCTTTCATTCCCCTACCAACCCAACTTGATATTTGAGACCTGTTGTAGTTTCCATTGGGTTCTGCTCTGACTTGCCGCAGCCTTCACCGTGTTCTGCTGAGACTTGCTACCACTTTTGCTGTGTTCTGTTCAGATCTGCTGTGGCCTTCACCATGTTCTGCTCAGACCAGCCATGGTCTTCGCCATGTTCTTCTTTGATCTGCTGCAGCTTTCACTATACTCTATTGAGACTTTCTATGTGCTTCATCATGTTCTGCTGAGACCAGCTGTGCCAATTACTATTTTCTGATTTGACCAACTGCCGCCTTTACCAAGTTCTGGTCAAACCTGTTGTGGCCTCTACCGTGTTCTGCTGAAACCAGGTCTTTACACAGATGTAAATATTAATAAAATAATCATGAATAACCAGTAAAAGAATAATCAAGTTGTTGAGTGAATGAAATCAAAATAAGCTTTATAAAACAGAAAAGAAAAAGTTTGTACTTCATAACAATAGTCTTTCTACAACAAGGCCCACAACCATTGGATATTTATTCCTGTAGAATTCCTTGAATAATTAATTATTTTGCCTTTTGAACTGAAAAGACAACTACTTATGTTTCTAATCATAAAATCTGAACAAGTATTTACATTGGTAAGAACATTTTTATAGCCTCAAATTAATTGTTGTGTATCATATATAAATAAAAAAAATTTAAAAGCAAATAATTGGGGCCAAATATGTCTATCTTTTAATGTTTTACCATGTTCTATTTAAAATATAAAAATCAACTGATAGATTTTGAGCATTATGAATCTTAGAAGTATACAAAGGTACTTATCATAATTGAAAAAATAGTATATATCAAGATACTAAGTAAAAAGCATTTTAACTGATCAAGTGAAATTAGTAAAAAAGTGAACAATTACGATATATTAAAAAAAGGAAGTTCTGCCAATTATCTAATAAAGAGATTATTTAAAATACTTAATTGAAAGATTTATAACCAGTAAAAAAAAATAAAAATAAATATGCAATTGTCTCATTATTTTGAATTTTATGTTGCAACACACATGGGTACAGATGCAATAGAGGCCCTGCATTGCATGCGGACATGTTTGTCAACACCAGTTACATCTGGGTTTTCCCCCAATAGCAGCAGGACAACTTGGCATGTCTAGATACAGGCCTCTGCAATTGGTCAAGATCTGGGTCTTTGTAAGATGCCTCATGCTAATAAAAGCAATGGGGAAAAACCAACAGTCAGCACAACATGGTGCCTTGTGAAATAGGTTCCATGGGCATTTTGTTCCTAAAGTTGCTGTGGTTTCCAAAGAAGTGTTATTTTTGTTATCTCCCATCTCTTTCCCCTCTCTGTCTATTACCCCTGTAGTTTCTGGTAGAGCAATCAGTTAGGTGTTTCCCCCAATCTCAACACACTCTTGCTGTGCATTACAACATTTTATTATTAAATGAAATATTGTCAATTATTAATGTTTTACTTTTATTTCCATTGTTTTCTATCACAGCTGCTCAAATGAGTATCAGCTTTTATACTTAAGCTTCTTGATCAAAAACATGAGACCAAGTCTTACTTTATTTATTTCAGATCCATACTACTTATTTGTGGCTATAAAATGATTACCTTAAGGTAAAAACATTCGTGGTTTTGCATTATTACATAATCCTGAATGGGGAAATCCCCAAATTTTCAATACTGAAAAATCAAATTCTTGAAAGTATAAATCAGGAAAAACAATTTTTTTCATAGATATTTACAGCTTTTAAAATGGATTTATTTGAAACATTTACTTAAAAAATTTTAAAAAACAAATCCACCTTATGAAAAAGTGTAATTCCAGGGAGTGTAAGTGATTTTTATGATCATAAACTATATTTTGAAGTTTAACCTTGAATATATAATCAACCAGAGTGCATATTAATTTTGTCTTTATTTCCTCTGGTAAATGCAATTCTTGATTTTCAGGATTTCAATCTTTTAGGATTGTAGTTTTTAAGATTTCAAAATTCATTTGAAATCTTTTGGATTGTGTATTTCAGGATTATGATAGGTACTTAACAATAACATGTATTTCATATTGAAAAAATTATTCAAATTAATTGTATTTAAAAAAAATGTAAATCTCATTATTATTTTTATGCAATATTTGATTTTTGATCACTTAAATATCTAAACATTAAATCGGTTACATATTTTTTTTTTAATCTTGAAGAAATAAAAATCTTGTGCAAAAAAAAAAAAAACAATCCTTTTGATTGATCCTATTCAAAAACAATTTTGGAAATGCAATTTTCTAGGTTCTACATAAAAGAAAATGTCTTATTTTAATACAATGTTTGAGTTACTGTTAAATAATGCCATATTGTAAAAAGGCCTTTTTTAAATAAATTTTAATGTCAATGTTTTAATGTTAAAGAGAAGAAATATCAATAACAAATATTATCAAAGTTGTTCACAACAAGAGTTTTTTCAAATTTTTACAGAAATATTACAATTTAAACAAAACCCATAGAAATGAATTCTATTTTAAGCAATTATCAAAATTTATATGGTTGAACTCTGGTAACATATGGTAGCAGAAATGCCTTTGTAATCTTTAAAAAGAGTTTAATATTTGCTTATTTTTCTATAGTTTGCCAGTAAAAGGGAATTTTAAGTCTCCATTCTTTAAGTGAAGATGAAGTTCTTAAGATTTTGATCAGCAATTTAAAAATTCAGTGATCTGAAAATATAAAGAAAAAAAGTAATTGTGTTTATTATTGTTATTTTGATTGCAAAATTTCAACCAGTTTAACTTTCTTTTTTTTTTTTTAATTGTGTGTTATAATTTGTGTTTTTTTTTTTTTTGGAAAATTCTAGAGCAGGAGTTCTCAACCAGATGGGGAGGAGGGAAAAAGTTTTTACTTTTTCACAAGTTTGTCATTGACTTCTAATCATCATCAAAATAAAATCGATTTAAATACCCTGACATTTTATTAAATGTTTTGTTTATTGAATTACAATACCCTGGAATTGTATGGAAGTTTTTGTTTATTAAAGTATGCTTCAGTTTATTTATTTAATAGTTATGAATTAAAAGAAATTACTGTACATGTATTTAAGCTTAAATATCCATCAACATTTTCTATTAAATTTGTAAAACTCAACTATAAAAATAATCCATGTAAATATATATGTAGTAATATTGAAAAGAATAAAGTTTTTCAGTAATATATGCATATTATTTGGAATGCACCTTTTGAGTTGGACAATCTTGGAAAAGTGGAGGTGACATTCTGACTTATAGTAAAAAGGGGTGCAAAAAGGGGCAAAAAAGGTTGAGAACCACTGTTCATGAGTCTTCAAATAAAAGTCCTTGTTTAAATTTAAAGGGATATTACATTTGAACTTGTTTGATGTTCTTCCACCATCACCTACCAAAAATAATATCACTAAATTATTCTGATAGAATGATGTTCACATTTTAACTGAAATGAAGAATACTCTTTTAATAATATAGTAAAGCCTACTGTAGTTTAGCCTACAAGAACACACTAAATTGAAAAATGTAGTCAGTCATTAATACTAACTATTACTTTCACTCAGTGATTAAATACACAGTAATACTTAATTACCTTAGCAAACATTCAAATTATGCATTGCCCCCAAATTACCTGAAGCATTAAATGCACTAAAAGTAATGCCTCCTATTACGTTGACCTACAACATCAGAGACAGATATTGGTGATATAGCTGTAGAAATTGAACCTTCTCACTGACAATCTAACTCTGGATAAAAGTGTTGGTAATCCAGTGACTTCACCCAAAGACTTGGCTACAGCAGAGGTGAAAAAAAAACAAACTTGGAGAGTTGAGTTAAAGGGGAAATAACTGATACTGAGATATCCAGAAGAGGTATGGCACGTGGAACTAGAACAATCTACCCCCGGTGGATGAAATAAAGGATTCAGCTCAAAATTCTTATCACCTGAAAAAGGCTAGAGCATACAACAACCAAAACATCACGAATATAGTAACAAAGATGAGGATAACAGTTCAAACATTGTAAATAGTGTAATATAATTCTTATGTTTAGTTTTCTTTTTTGCCTTGTTACAGATGAACAAAAATTGGGAAAAAGAGTGTCTGACATATAAAGTGGAGATTCTTCCATGCTGAAAAAATTACATCCCCACTGATATTAATCAACACTTGCTGAATGCTTATGGGAACCAAATGATTAGGCTGTAGGTAAAAACAGCAATGGGTGTGACAAGCCATATTTGGGTTGATGAATGGATAACATTTTCCTTGAGTTGAAAAAGTAGAAAAATAGTTTTTGTGGCTGAAAGCTGGCACTATCCAACAGTGTTATTGTGCTCCCTTTATCAATTGTAGTTTACACAGAAATAAATAGGAGGCATTACTTTCAGAGCATCCCTTAGTAAGTAAGTTAACTTTAGAAAGTTAAATATTGATAAATAAAATTATTATTGGTTACAATTAGAATTAGAGAAAATAAAAATTTTTTAAAAAAGGTAATAATAAAAAGAAAATGTTGGTTAAAAATTCACTTTTCATTGAATATGAGATTTATTATATTCAATATTTAAATGCCTAATGGTGACAAAATCATTTTTATAATTTTTAATGACACAGTACAAAGAGTAACAAAGTAAAGACGGTTAGAAAACCGGAGCAAGTTTTAAAAAAAATTTTTTAATGATCTAAGTTTGTTAAGGTTTTTCAGTTAAAGGGAAAGAAGTGGGCGATATCTGCTTAGGGTGGGAACAAAATTCAATAAAATAAAGAAAGAAAAAAAAAAAAAAACAGATTATGGTTGCGCATGCGTTCATGCGGAAAAAATAATACAGCAACCAAAACAAGAAATCCAAACAAATCAACAAAGACGAGAA